TTTTTGAAAACAAAATAGAAGAAAAAAGAAAAATGAGCATAAACCCCATGATCCGAATTATCACAAAAATTTTGCCCAGGCAAAAACCTCGGCTATATAAGAAATTTGAAGCAATCTCCTCAAAAACCTGAAGACTTCATCTTTTGATTTCTAAGGGGGGCAAGAGGCACCCAGCTAGCTAGTTCCAAGCTGAAGCCTGATACTTAGAAAAATTTCACAGGTTGAAGTTTTAACTAGGAGAAGCAGGGTAAAAGGAATGAAAGCTAAAAAGTGTACTCGCAGAATATTATGAACTTCTCAGCAAAGAATAACTTCAAGTCGAAATTCTACACTTAGACAAATTTTGTGTAAATTCAGAAAAGCAACTAAGCACAGAAATCAGAAAGACATGCAATAAGAAAAGAAAACTGAGAGAATCATCAGATATATTAAAAGTGAGGATTGCAAATGTTAAGTATAAAAAAACAAATCCTAAATCGGCAGCCGCCCACAAGCGGAAAACGCAGCTGCCGAAAGATGTACATAAACAGAAAAAAGCTTGTACAAAGTAGGGTTAGCTGAAGCAAAAGATACGGCAAAAGCAGTTGCGACATTAAATTGATCAAGAACATGTAGATCCACAAGATTCTGCAGACGACTGCCCGAGTCCCTATGCTTCGGCATTGTTTGCATCAGAGTTGGGAGCCTTAGGGAACTCGGCGGCAGAAGAAGAAGCGGGATGAGCAGTATCAATCTCTTTGGTTGCAACCCCTTCCTCTTTGTCCTCATCTTCCTCGGATTTGGCCGCAGCAAGGCGTTTAAGGCAAGCGTCTTCAGCTGGGTGAGCAGTCCGCAGATTGGGATGGTTGGGGACTGCTGCCCATTCCTCGACCTGGTCCTAGTTGACGTCTGGACTTGCATGGAAAGCCAGACGCGCGAGCAACGTTGAACCCATTGTCAAAGCCTTCCTCATATTACTCTCGAGTATAGACGCGGACCTTCAGCAAGTCGTTGGCAGCCGAGAGATCTGCCTTAGCCTTCTCAGCTTCATCTTTAGTCTTCGCAACCTCATCCATCTTCGCAGCTAGGAGAGTCTTTATTCCCTGTAGCTTAGATCTCATGGCAGAGAGATCGGAGTCCTTGACATCTAGCTGGCTGACAAGCCGCTGAATCTCAGCCTCGTGGTCAGCTTGCTCCATTTGAAGATCCTCGGCCAGCTTTTGCCGAGCCTCTGCCTTTCGTTTCATTTTCTCCTCTATCCGAGCCTTGAAGCTCGGAATGTCAACAACGCCATACTCCTGGATCAGGGCATGACCCTCTTCAATTCAGGGGAAGATGATCTGCTTAATCCCTTGGCAGAAGTCTCGGAGCTGGGTCTCCATCTCTCTCATCCGAGACTGGCTAGCAGAAGAATCTTCTTCTGCCATCTTGCACTTCATTTCATTTAGCCGAGCTCGATTCTCAGCTTCCTCTGCTTTCTGCTTCAGCTCTTCATTCAAACTAATCGCCAGGACGTGGTTGTAAACGACCTGTAAAGTGGAAGAATGGGTTAGCCGAAGAAAAAGAGATAATGGAGGAGAAACCAAGCTTAATAAAAAGGGTTGGTTACTTAAACCAAAGTGTTTGAGTTCAGATTACCTGTATCAGCAACTTCTGGTTCACGACAAAAGGGTCTGGCACCCTCACCAAGGGTTCGCCCACCCCAGCAGAGGCACGAAAAAACCATCTCCCAGCTTTCTCCATCTCACAACCGCTGGATAAGTCACCAAAGAGCTCAACAGCTGAGTCTCGGTGGGAGTGCAGGTTGTTTCTAACAGCTTCAGGAATTATCACCAGTGGGGTTGCCCCAAACCCCATTTCCGCAAACTGGAAAGTTCTGAAAGAGTTCCTAGCAGATGATGGAACGTCAGATGTTTTGGGATCATCAACTCTTTCACCAGCCTCCTTGAAATTGTCGGGTTTCCCCGGCAAAAGTTGTACGTCGTCATCCTTGAGGGGCTGCACGATGAAGGCATCGACTTCCCTTTGAACCTCAGTAGCAAAATGCTCAGCAGTATGCCGAGGAGACGGTGGTAGGACAGGAGGAGTCCTTTGCTGTACTTCTTCTTCCCGATCCTCGGGAAGAGGAGGAGTCTTTTCCTTAGCTGCCTCGGCCAGGTCCTCGGCCAGCCGAGGTCTCTTTGTAGCAGGCTTAGAAACCGGGAATTCTCCCGGGCCTACAACAGCTCTTCTCAACCTTCTCCTCCTTGGGCTTGCCATTTCTTTTTCTAAGGATTCGTCCGAAGAAGATGACTCAACTTTTTCAGAATCCTTTTCGTTTTCTTCTTCTTCGTTAGACTGCAGTAGAAGAAACAAGGGGGGCAAGGGGTGATATCAACATCATCATCATAAAAAGAAATTTTTTAGCTAAAAGCCGAAGCTTGGTACTTGGACAATTTTCACATAATGAAAGGTCTAAGAAAAAAGAGTAAAGCAGTTGAAAAGCTGAAAAAACATAAAAGCTCACCGAGGTCTTCAGCAGTAGGTCGTCTTCAGTGCTGTGTGCATAAGGCTCAGCAGCTTGTGTTGTTGACTCAATGTTCTACTCAGAGCCAATAGCAAAGACTCCAGCGTCAACAGTAGTAGTAGCAGTAGCGACAGCCTGTTCTTTAGGACCCAGTAAGAAAAAGGGGTCCCTCTTCAAGAACCAGGACTTTTGCTTCGAATACTCTACTGGCTTGATAATCTCAAGCGTCGAAGGGCGTAGCGCAGGAGCCCTTGCAGATAGAGGAATTATTGTAGGGGCGTTCTTCGTCACCTGTCGAGCAGCGTTAATTCCAAGTATGTTGTATTCCAGGCCTTAATTCCCTTCGTGCAGCTCTGAAAAACCAAAAGAAAAAGGGTTATTCGGTAAAAAAAAAAAAAAAAAAAAAAAAAAAAAAAAAAAAAAAAAAGAGAGTGAAAGCAGCAAGTAAAGGCCTTCGGCCCCAGCCGAGCTTCTCACCGTTTTGGAATTTTTGGCTGAGGCCGACAGCTTCTAATATCTTCTCCTTGAAGATATAATGTTAGCAGGGGAGCCAGGTTTTTGGCACAAAAACTCCTCGGCCAATTCCCCCTGGATTCACCTTCTTTCCGAAGAGATTCAACAACTCTTTCTCCTCGGCTGTGAATTCATCGGGGTCGATGGCTCCCATCTTCGGATCTGGCATCCGTAAGTACCTTGGCCCCCCGTAATGGTTCGGATGGCTTTCCTTGGCTGGGGCCCGGACCCATATCCATTGACCCCTCCATTCCTTGTTCGAGGTGTCGTTCGGCCAAGATGTCAAATGCCCTCTCTAGGTCTCGATTCTCCACCATCCAGGGCATGGTGCTCATCAGATTGCTGATTTGGCACCAGTTTGTGCAGCTTTCTAAAAACATGACACTCGGCTCAAATCCGTAGAAGAGGCTGACCCATAAAAACGTCATAACTCTTCGGATGCTGACCGGGGTAAGCTGGCACAGGGAGATATTGTACCCATTCAGCACCTGGATGATGAAGGGATGAAGAGGAAATCTGAGCCCGAATTGGAGCTTCCTGGTGTACACGCCGATGTAATCAGGTGGAGGTCTGTGAATCCTATCTTCGGCGACGGGCATTTGACACCAATACCCGTCTTCCTCCATAACGCCATAGAACATCTCAATTTGTTCGGCGAAGTGATGGAGGGCATTCCCTTTGATCCACCAATCATAGGGAGCTGCTTTCATAACTCCCTAATTCTTGGGCGGGTTGTGCCATTCCTCGGCCCCTGTTGGTAGCCGCCGAGGCCCATGCGCAGGGCCACCAGCAGAGGTGCTTGCCTCCTCCCAACCTCGGTAATGCACTGAAGTCAGCGGCGTTGCGTTAATGGGAGGCTCTTTAGAGGTATCCCTACCCTCTCTTCAGGGAAGGGCAGTCTCATTGCTAAGGGGCGGCATCCGCCCAAGTGGCTGGTTGCGCCTGGCACCCAGCTGAGGAATTTCCTCTTCCTCAGCATCAATCGGTCTCTTTCCTAAGTCTCGACCTCGAACCATCTTTTTCGCGAAAACGGGAAAAATTGAGTAAAAAGGGGAAAGTTCTTAAAACCAGAGAAATCCGAACAAGTTTCCAGAAAAAATTACCTTTATCCGACTCTGCCGATCTGTTTGCTCGGAGTAGCGGATTCTGGTCTTGAGCTAGGAATTGCAAGAAATAAGGAAGAATGGAGATTGGGTTTTCAAGGGTTTACGCGAATTTCAGGAAGCGTGTTTGCGAAAAATAATTAGAGAATGTGGAGAGGGCGGTTTATATAGGTTTGCTGGAATCAAGAATTCCAAGAGTTTATAACCGCCAAAAACCCCACTTAATTCCGTTTAAACACAGTTATTAAACACGTTCCTTGGATAACTACCCATTTAACCTTCCACCTTCCCTAATTATTCCCCATAGTGACAGTTAAGGCATCATTAACTGTTCAACATCCATATTTGAAATACAACCATTTGTTTCCCTCCATTTGGCAAATCCAAACCCGAACCGTCTTTCATTCGAATCGGGTCTGGGGGGTAAGTTGTTTGGGTCCAATTCAGCCATCGTTAATTGGGCCTGTCCAAATGGTTCAATTACAAAAGCCCAAAAGCAAGGTTCAATCCTCCTAAAGCATGCTAAGTCAGCCAAGCCTAGTCAACATGACAAGCCCATATGACTTCAAGGGCCCAGCTCTTCTCTATTGAACAAAGGTATAAAAGCCATCAACTGTCCCATTATTATTCATTCACAATCAGCCTTAAGAACTTTTTCTCTCTACACTAAACTGAATTTAGCATCGGAAGGGCCTTCCTCGGTAACCACCCCCGAGGCTAGTTTACGTGTGTTTGCTGTGCAGGATACCTTCGGCCCTTTCATCACTTGGACCGCGATTCCTCTTCTCCCATCAAAAAGGGCCTGTTGAAGGCCCCATTGTTTTCAGTAGAAACAGTCGGTAATTATCGCATCTATGGATAGACCCAGATCAAAGAGTATCTCACAAAAATTTCTCCAGATCTCGAGATAAAGGTGCTGCAGAAGAACATCAATTGTTGATTTCTTGATATTAACGGATCTTAAAAATTGGATTAAATTGTAAAGGGGATTAGCTTTAGTAATAAAGGTAGGGGGGTTCATTAATTGACCAATTGATGGGCTTATAGTGTAATGTTTGCTTAGAGTAATCAGATTTTGGGAGATGGATGGTTGAGCAGGCACATGGCTCATGGGAAGGGGAAGCGGCTGATGTTTCTTAGTGGGGTTGGCAAGATGAATTTGGGGTTTTCTTAGGGTGGGTAAGGTTTTATTTTCTTTTTCTCTTTCTCTTTCTCTCTCTAGAATTCATTTTGCATCTCATAATATGCATTTGGTAATGCATATCCAAACTTCATTTCTACTTCCTCGTATGGAGCATGTGGAGTGTATTGTGTTGAAAATTTGAATATGTTGAATATGTTTTCCCATACGCTACTATCATATGTTTTATATACTTAAATTTCTCCGCCAACCAAGATTTCCCAACAACAGTCTACTCTCCTTTCATCTCAAAAACAAAAATGCGAAATTCAGCGGCGAAACTCCCACCTCGCCGCCTGAAACTCCTCCTCATACTCCTCTTCACAACCTCCACTTTCTACCTCCTTAACCGTCACCACATCCTCCTTAACCTCCACTGCCCATCTCCCCCCACCACAACTTCCGATCTCTTCCTCCACACCTCCCTCTCCTCCACCCCACCACCCGCCACAACTCTCCGCCACCTCTTCTTCTCCGTCGCATCCTCCGCCTCTTCCTTCTCTCGCCGCCTCCCCTTCCTCTCACTTTGGTACTCCCCCAACACCACCCGCGCCCTCCTATTTCTCGACAAACCTCCTCTCTCTCCTCCCCCTCTCCCCTTCTTCGTCTCCTCCGACACCTCTCGGTTTCCCTACTCCTTCCCCCGTGGTCATCGCTCTGCTGTTCGTGTTGCTCGTATTGTTAAGGAAGTCTTTGATCGCGGCGAAAGTGATGTCAGGTGGTTTGTTTTTGGGGATGATGACACTGTTTTTGTTCCTGAGAATTTGGTGGGTGTTTTGTCTAAGTATGATCATGAAAAGTGGTATTACATTGGGAGTAATTCCGAGAGTTCGGAGCAGAATTTAAGGATGACTTTTGGGATGGCTTATGGTGGGGGTGGGTTTGCTATTAGTTCTCCTTTAGCTAGGGTTTTGAGTAGGGTTTTGGATTCTTGTTTGATGCGTTACCCTCACTTGTATGGGAGTGATCATCGGATTTCGTCTTGTATTTACGAGCTTGGTATCGAGTTAACTCGAGAACCCGGGTTTCATCAGGTATGATTAAGATTGTTGTATCTTCTGTTTGTTTTATACTTTTATGGTTGATTAAAATGTTGTTGCTTACAATGTGCTTGAGTATGGGTAGCTTTGGAAATGTCAAATTTTGGTGTTTTAATTTGAATTGCCTTGATCACACTAACTAATAGTCTATTACAAGTATTTTGTTCTGTATTCTCATATGCTGCTTGATTACATTGTGCTCTGGTTTGGCTCATTTTAGGAATGTTGGAAATTTGAGTGTTCTTATTTGAAATGCTATGATCACAGTTCTATTGTTTATACTACGGTATTTTGTACTAGCTAATTCTATTATTTTGTGTTATGCTCACATAATATTCATAATCATTAGTAATCCCTTGGTTTTTTTTAATAAGCCTCATTTAATCTCTTAATGTAAATGGAATATAATGCTTTAATGATTGTTCCGTACTTTAAAGGAAATTACAATCATGAGAGATCTAGTTAGATACATCCTGATTTTAAGTTTCCAAATATGTACTCCCTCCGTCCCCGAAACTTCGACCCTTATGGCCTAATTTTAGTCCCAAAATGTTCATCTCATTTGCATTTTAATACCCTTTAATTTGCAATAATATTTGTGCAAAATTAGCTTCCCCATGCAAATTTTGCTTTTTCTATATACTTTTATTACTTTCTCTCTCTACTTTTTTGCAATTCCAATGTAAATTTCCCTTTTCAATGTACTTTTCTTAGTTCCCCTATACACTCTTACACTTCCAATTTAACTTCTTAATACCCGCGAAATCAACTCAAAAGGGTCGAAGTTTCGGGGACGGAGGGAGTATTATTTTTAATGGGTAAAGCTATATGTAGCTCTTAGGACAAAGAATAAGCATTTAATATCTTTCCTTACTTGGTATTAATTTAGGAATGCATGACAAAATCACACGCAAATCAGCGTAATTAACCTTTTATTTTCATCTATTTTTTTGCCATTTTTAGCTCCTTATATGTAGCTTTAAGTATTATGTATAGCATTTTCCTTTTTTTAATGATAAGTTAATGTTAATTTTTTTCTTCAAGTAAATAAGTCAAATAGCTATCTAGGTTAAGTTCTGGTTAGGGATGGATCCCCTTATATATTCCTTGCTTCAGTTTAAACACTTATGATATGTGACTTCTATAATTGCTAGGAACTATGTAATATACTACTTTATTCACATTAAAGTGTCAATTTAATATTTGATTGAGTTTATCTGTTATCGTTGTCTCTTTTATTCCCTTAGTTTATGAAATTTTCTATACCGGGTGAATTCCCAAAAGGTTAGGTTAGTGTTCTACTGGCCTTAGCTTGTTTTTGAACACTAACTTGGTTTCTAATTTCAATTTGCTTAGTACTTCTAAGTTGGATAAGTATCCTTTGTCTTTATTTTAATTCTTTTTGAAAAAAGTAAATATAGTGTAGGCTGTGAGTGTTTCCTCTAGAATTGGTACACATTTAGGAGTGATATTTCTTGTCATCTCTATCATATCATTTCCCCGTATGAAAAGAGATCTGTGCTAGTCCATGATCTGGTCCTTGCTTCCAAAATACACCTGTTCTTCTCTTTCTTCCCTATAACAGTAGTTACTACTTGTTTGTGCATGTTATTCATTTTAGCATATATATATGCAGATAAAAGCTACACGATTATGAAGCAGAGATGTATTACCTTATAATTTTTGTTGCTCTAATTTATGAAAGCAGTTGACATTAGATGCTTTGTGTTAATGTTGCTGTATGTAGGTTTTGACTGCCTTATGTCATCGTTTTTGAGCAGGTTCTTTTCTTTTAACTATTCTTACTCGAGGTCTATTTGGATAATGTGTTGCTTAATTGAATGTCATTTTTTTACTTGTCAGCTTGATGTCAGAGGAGACTTGTTTGGTTTGCTTACTGCTCATCCATTGTCACCTTTAATATCTCTTCATCATTTGGAGATTGTGGAGCCTATTTTCCCTCGCAAGAACCAGACAGAGGCAGTACAACACCTTTTCAAGGCTGTGCGTGCTGATCCTAGTAGAATTTTGCAGCAAACAGTTTGCTATGATCATTCAAGTAATTTGACTGTTTCAGTTGCTTGGGGCTATGCTGTTCAAGTATTTGAAGGCCATCTACTTCTCCCAGATATTCTTGCTGCACAGAGATCTTTTACACCTTGGAGAAGGCGTGGCATCAATATACCAAGCCAATATGTATTTGACACGAGGGACTATCCTCAGGATCCATGTAAAAGACCTGTGGTCTTCTTTTTGGAAGATGTTGCTTCCGGGACCGGAAGAGTCTGGAGCAAATATAGGCGGAATAATTCTCATAGCTGCTCTAAACCTGATGCTATTGAGAACCTAAAAGACGTGAAAGTGTTTTCCAAAAAGCTACAGCACAATGCTGGACTGGTAATACTTTCTGTCTTGCATAGGGAAAAACTTCAGCTTTTGGTACCTTTTGTTGAGGCTTTATTTGTTGTTCAACTGTTCTTAATCTTTATGATTTTTGTCTTTGCTTTCTTACACTACAGACTTGTCTCATTTCAGGCGATGGCACCCCGTCGTGATTGCTGTGACATAATACATCCGTTTAAGAAATCAATGGTCATTGACATCAGGCATTGTGGTGTTAATGAGTTGATTGCCATGAATCCTTAGCACCAGGAGCGCTGATGAGTAGCTTGTTCCTTGTGTTGAAGTTCTGGTGATGGAAATCATGTATAGCTGCTTTGTGACATACTGTTTGGTTGCATCATCAAGGTAATTTCTTTTCTTGTCCTCCTTTTACTGTCATGCATTCACGGGTCAGTTACTCAGTTGTCATAGATGGCATAATTTTGCCTTCATTGTATGATGCATACCATTTCTTTATCAAGTGAAATTAAGTCCATATTTCCTATGATGTGGGTTTTTTAAATAAATTGTTGCAACCAAAACTAAACTTCACACTGGTTTTGAGAGAAACAGTTTTGCATTTATTAGTGCTTTCGAGTGCTAATTTGAACATTAAATACTTTATATAGTTATATAATAGTGGTTGTGACTCTTGTGAGTAGCACCTATATTTGTTGATCCTTGTATTAGGGCTTAGCCTCCTTAATTTTCACTTTGGATTACAGAATTACAGTTACCTTGATAACATTCTGCAAAGATCTAGTTAATCAGCTTCTCTTTGCAACCATGGGTTTTCTTAATGAGCTGGATATATTTAAGCACCAGCCTTTATTTCGCTTAGAATCTTAAATGTCAAATTTGAATCCTCCTTGGACAAGAAATCCTTTGTTGACATAATCCCTTTTGGGAGTTGGAACATACTCATTTGAACTGTATATATTTCCCTTGGCAATTTTTGAGGTTGAAGAACTTGTAGCAGTATGTCTTGTGTTTAATTCTGATTTTCAAACTCTACATGGAATTAAACCAACTTGAATTGTCTTTTGGTTCTAGGAGCCAATATTTTCAACTTGATTTGAGAAGACATTGAATTTTTTCCCATTATTGAGACATCTAAAAAGCCTATATCAACTCCAAGGCACTAGTTGACATAAACAGGAAAATGAAGCATTTATCAAGGCTACAAGTTGACTCATAATTGGTTGATAGAATCAAACTTTACATACTTATAAAGTACTTCATCTGTTATTTTTTTTGCTGACACTCTTTGATTTTTGACACTATATACAAACTCTACTTTGAGTCTTTGGCTATCTTTTGTGATTTATAGCCCTATAGGTGTGATAAAACATAATCATGTGTGATCTTGTTAGAATTGTCGCTACTTATATTTTCATATTAATAATTTTTGTATAATTTTTAGGAAAATTTGCCAATTGCAGCCATTTAAAGTTTGTATTTTGCAAATTGCAGCCCAAAAGTATTAATAAATTGTAAATTGCAACCCAATTTAATTTTTTCATCGATTTGCGTATCGAAAAATGTTCCGTTAAGGTTTTAGGGGCCATTTTAGTTCTTTAGGGTCCAAATTGTGCTCCGAATTGGCAAAAGATTAATGTAAGGACCTCGTTTTCACGGCAAAAAATAGTTGCACACAAATCTATATATTTTTGATACGTAAAACGAGGCACTTTATTTTTTTTTGAAGAACATTTTTCTGCACGCAAATCGATGAAAAAATTGAATTGAGTTGTAATTTACAATTTATTAGTACTTTTGTGCTGCAATTTGCAAATTTTTTTTAAATGGTTGCAATTTACAAAATACAAATTTTAAATGGCTGCAATTGGCAAATTTCCCTAATTTTTAATCATTGATAATTAAATATATTAATCGTTGAACTTGTGTGTTGGTGAACGTGATAAAAAAAATTACATGCCAACTAAGAAAGATCAGAAGAAGTAAAACTTATATTGATACTTGATCATACTAAAAATCATTCATGCTTGAAATTTAAAATACTTAAGTCTCACTCTTGTAACTTTGTATACATGCCTCAATACGGAGTTGTAGCATACACTTCAATGTTTGAACACACAAAATTTCTTGCACGAAACAGTCTTGTAGAAAGTTTTAAATGAACAATATCCTTAAAGTACAAATTTTATTAAATGCTAATTCTTTTATCATAAAAGTATTGTGAGTTCTTAGATTTGCCTTGAGATCTTAATGTTTTAGCCTTCTTGTGGTTTTTTTTTTTTTTTTTTTTTTTTTTTTTCAAAAAATCCAATAAGTATTACTCCGTAAGACCTAACAGTTCAGCTTTGATATTTCATCAAATATGGCCTCCACTCAGCAAAGAGTAATGACCTTTACCAATATTTCTTTTTTTGCCGATCATTGGTTGGTTTTCTAATGCAGAGTGGTGTAAAGGAGAAGGAAAATGTGCTTTTTTTAGTGAGAGAGGGGGTTAACCATAAATGCTTCAAAGGGATGATTATTGGACAGATTAATATGATGAGATGAGTAAGATGGATTCTAAACCCTTGGCTAAGGAAGGAGACTTGCAGCTTTTATTCTTTTTATTTTTTTTATCTTCTCACTTTCTTCTTCTTGACCCCCCTACATGGCTCCGTCATCTTCACACGTTTAAATTCTAACAGGGGTAGTCCGCCAGTTTCTTCTCAAATGGATTGCAGGGTAATAATGAGGAATATTCACGCTAATATCCATTATATGCCTGGACTTTTTTTATAAGACCATTCAATTATCAAAGAATAATATTCCATATTAGATTTCTTAGCCACCTGTGCTGCTACTGGAGAAGTAGAAATAATGGCAATGGACTTCATGCCTCACTGTCATCATGTAATTTTCAAACCAGTTGCAGGCGGCAGAAAACCTGAATCCCCACCTGTCCATGTTGAGGTATTACCCCAAGTTTCCTGCATTTACTATTTTACCATTAATGTGGTGAAGCTAACAGGAATCTTTAGATCTTAAACTCTCTGTTCTGTTTGCTGCTTACATTTGGAACCCAGCCACTGTCATAAAGCTTATTTGTATTGATTAAAACTTATTTAACCTATTAATACTTAAGATTATTTTTTAACTTGAAGTAAACATGGCCGATACCTAACAAAGATGTTTCTCTCCTTATTGGGAGCAATACTGATTTCTGTAAACCCTGTTCATGTTTTAGTAGAAAGACCTTTGACCCTCTTATTGAAATTGTATCTTTCTTGAAACAAGTTCTTGTCTTCTCCGTGATAAACTGATTCCCTTTGCCAAATTAGATCTCCTGTATTTCATTTTTAGGAGGTTGAAGGGTTTTATTGCATTCTGATCTTTGCTGATATGTTAATTTAATTTGCTATTGTTATCGGCCTTTGTTGATTGCTATTTTTCTTCCTGCAGGTTTGCACCTTTTGTCCTGCTTAATTCAGATTCCAACCATTAGCCCAAATGAAGGTGGTGTTGGTGCCAATGTTGGCTCCGTTCACATAATAATTGATTCTGCCACCTGCTGTTATGGTGTATATTAGGAGCTGAAGCCTTCATAGCTATTTTAGAAGTCTGCAACACGGCACCGATATAGGAATTTCAGTTTTTTTTTTTTTTTTTATTATTATTTTTTTATTTTATGTACTCCCTTGTATGTCTTGTTGAAGGTAAATTTTAGTAGGAGACGGGTTTATGCCATTAGACTGAAAGTGCCGTCTCATTTATCAACGAAATTTAACATGTATATTTTTATTAATAGTCGCCCTTGTCTTGCCAAACAATCATTTATTCTGTTAATATTTTCCCAAATCTGATTATGATGTAGATACATGTGATCACCATTACAATGGCTTGTTGATGTATGTAGTTTGTCGAAGATGAATGATTTTATGTTGTGAGATTGCTTGGAATAATGAACGCGTACTGTGTAGCATGCAAACTCAATTCTCACAGTAATGTTGTGCAATCTAATTGAAATCCTTATTCGTTTAAAGGTATGGAATATGCTTTGGGAGGTGCTAGATTGTATAACTAGAGTACTTTCTCGACTTGTTATTTTATCTCACCTATAACTAATACTAGTAAACGGTGATCTGTAAATAAACTTTGTTAGATATAGCACCGTTTTCCCCACCGCTCCCCTGCTCGCTGGCGTCTTGCTTTCCTTCTCCTTCTCCTTGCCGTTGCCGGCGAGCCCTGTAATCCTCTGTTTTCTTTTTAATTTGATGTTCCCTTCCGTGTCTTTCCTAGTTTAGAGGTCTACGTTTTTCGTCGTGCCATTTTATCCTTCAATAACATCAGCTTTAGATAGCTATGGTACGGGCGTACGACAGTCAAGGAAGTTAGGTTTCATTATCCAACTCTTAGGTTGTTTCAAATAAAGAAGGCCACGGAGTTCGAAGTCGAAAACAATTGCCCAAGTATCAGCGTTTCTGTGAGAAGTTGTTGTTTCTCCCCTGCAACGTTTCTTTGAGGGAGAAGAGTATTTTATCTACTTTAATTATACTTCTGGGCTCTGTTTTATCATCTCCCAAGCTAAGATTTCTCGTATCTAACTAGTTTACTGTGTGCTGGCTTGGACTTTACTTTAGTTGTTCTTGTTGTTATGGGTGATTTTATTGTTAGTGGCTTAGTGCCTGGGTTTAATCTAGTTGTATCAGAGTTTCAAGTTGTTGGCTTTGGTTTAACTTTGTTGGCTAGGGGTTTCATTTTGTTGCCGTGTTCAGAGTTGTTCTTCGTTTGGATTTTGCTCCGTCGACTATCCGTGGTCAGTTAAGGGGGGCGTGTTTTGTTTGTTTACCCTTGGGTGTTATTTTGTTCTTAAGTTGTTTGGAGCTCTTTTGAGATGGAGTTGGAATTGTATCCTGCTTTTGCTGAGTTCCATCTTCCCAATTTTATGACAAGCATGTTGTCCGTATTCTTGATTTGTTGGCTTGTCCGGATGATGTGTTAATCCGTTCTAAAGTTTTCAAGGAGGAAGGTAATTCCTTGTTCAAAGAAAGCAAATTTAAACTTGCTTTGTGCAAATATGATTTATCGAGTAAATTGATGTGTTTTAGTTTGCCATCGACTTAGGAGGCTTTTGCTATGTTTCGCTCATTAGCATTTGCTTTAAATCTTAATCTGGCTACGTGTGCTCTGAAATTACAGGAATTTGGTAGAGTAATTAAGTGATGTTCGTTTGTGTTGAGGTTTGTCTCCTATAATACCAAAGACATTTTTAGGAGAGCCTTGGCCTTTAAGGGGTTAGACGATCTTATTTCCGCCAAATCCGACGTTTGCAAGGCAGTTAACTGTGTTTCGAGGAATTTGGAAGCGTTAAAAGAATTACAGGAGGTTGAAAGACTTTTAGGTTGTGCCTCTTCCGTAGATCACAATTTGGGGAGTTCAAGTTCTAAGCCAATCCTTGAAGCTACCTTTACTTCGGACATGCAAGGAGTTTGTGAATGGAGGTTATTGCACAGGTGTTGCCCATTGGGGATGATATGGAGTGTGATGTTGTAAGTTCTGTGAGTGGGGTTTCTTCGCCAGGGTCAGATGATAAGGTCCCTAATGTTTTGGGAAGTGAGTCTCATCTGGGGTCAATTCAGCTGGATAATGGTTTACACCAGCACAGGTTCCGATCATGTGGATGTTCTGGTTCATCTCTTCAAATTACATCTTTTAATTTGCAGCGTCTTATGCATGGTGATGTGCTTAGTCTTTATCATTCAAAGTCTGTATCCGTAATGACGGTTCGGGTTGTCCCGAGTAAAACTAAAATCTTGACAGAGGTCCCCCTAGGTGAAAAATCCAGGGAAGCAGAGACCTCTATTCCTTTGGTTCCTCCTGTTTGTGGTCCTGAAGCACCAAGCGGTTCCCTCTTAAAAGGTCTTGCGTGCTTCTTCTCAATCGCCCACAGCTGATGATATTACTGCAAATCATGTTTTCGAAGAGTCGATCAAGGCCTCGGCATTTCAAGCTAGCCCTACTTCTCCTGGGTTTGTAGGCAGTCTTTAGGATTCTGCATTTCGACTTCCAACTTTGTCGTCCAGGCTTAGGGTTTTGTCTCTCTTGAATCGCCAACACGGACTATTTCTCATATTCGTCTTCAGATGTTAGGTAAGATGTGTTCTGATAAGGTTTGTACAGGTTGCAAGCCAGGATGGATCATGTGGGTTTAAAACGACGTGCGGCTTCGCCTCTTGTTTTGGAGTCTAACAATCTAGATCGTGTGAAGCTTGCTCGCATTGGTCCTTCCTGGGTTTTTTCCACTTAATGTAGTGGTTGTCTTGTGTGTTGTTGTTGTTTAGTTTTTCTTTCTAAGATCCTCTTGTAAAAAAAAATAAAAAAAAAAATAAAATAAAAAACTTTACTAATACTAGTTGTAGGCGTCATTCGAAGAGTGCCTACTTAAGCATGTTGTGAATATGCTTGGCACTCATAGGAAGTGAGAACTGACATATGGTTAGGGACACGATTAGGGACAAAGCAAAGTAGGGAGCCGCCAACAAGTTTTTTAAGGAACTTGTAAATCGTTCATGGATCATTTAAGGCAACCACGATTAAGGGACAACGATAGGCAACAACGATTGACCCGTGAAGGTTACACCCCATTCATAATCCATGAGATTATTAACTCCATATGGCCCGGAACCACGACAGGAGGATCGGGGATGATGGTACGAAGTGAGTCATGGAGTCACATTCGCCCGTATTGGCCTCTACTCGATTCTTATTGTGAAAAGTAATTCATGCGATCTCAAGGGCATAGAAACAAAGATTTAATTTACTCCAAACTAAATTAGGCTAAATTGGTTGAATATTAATGCACACATAATTCTAAATATTAGTGATCACTTAATTAAACAACAAGATTAAAAAGAAACCTAAGCTGGTCGTTCAAATTATCTTATTAGTCATTATATTCAATTACATATTCCCATTAACATGCAATATGGTAATCAATATAATAGATTAAACATTAACATAGGAAGCAATTTAACCAACAACGTTAGTCAAATCAAATCATAATAATAACCCTAATCATGATACTAGCAATAATAAGGATAATAATTGATAAGTCTATTTTACATATATTTGTTCCCCGTCCCAATGGTCATAACTGTGTTTATTTGAGCTCTACGAAGCTACTTTTGTTACTAATATGCGTTTTCTAGTGATTTCGTAGATTTGGTATTTCTTTATAGGAAATTGAGGATTTGGAGCATTTTCCCAGATTTATTGGAGTCATTACGAGCATTGGAGTAAGACCGCATTCATATGACCACATTCCGAAGCCCAAGACCGGTTGGAGTCATCAAATCGGTGATTAAGGGCTCGGCGAAGAAAAAGAGTTCGGGCCAATGGACCATGTATTCAGAACCCAAAGAGGAAATGCGAATTGGGCTAAGAAACGACCCAATTGAAGAAGTCCAACTTCGTCCGGGAGCTAGCCCGGTCGGGCAAGCCCTCGCCCGAAGGCGCGCCTGGCAGGGCGAGGAAGAAGGAAGAGAGTTGTAGCTCGCCCGAAGGCGCGCCCGGCAGGGCGAGATCGCGCCCGACCAGGCGTGTGTTTCTGAGATCGTTTAGCGACTTTTAATCTTCGTTGTAGCTTAGGTTTTCTAATTAAGTATAAATACGCTTTTGTTAAGGAGGTTTAGACTCTCGAGGACGCTCCTCATTAGTTAATTTCTAGATTTTAGTTTTAAGCTTTGGTGAATATTCTTATTTTTTCTCTCGACACTTTTGATTTATACAATTCATCATTTCCGTTTATTTTGGTAACGATTTCTTCCCCTTTTATTTTTAGTAATTTAATTGCTTTGATTAATTATGCTTTCTGTAATTTCTTTGCTTAGTTTAGATTTAAATATGCACGAGTAGTTTTTTTTTTAGGGTTTGTGGGGATCCATAAATAATATGAAGGGGTAATTTATTATTGTTGACTGTCAATGCTTGATTAATTTCCTATTGATTGATTTAATGCTATGCAATTAGATTTGCGCAGGTTTAATTGTATAAGTTAAGCAATATTGATTTGAGATTCGAGAGATGAGAATTGATGTTTAGGCTTAGTTTCAATAGACAGATTAATTTATAAATGGTTAGGTCAAGATTCGAGAGATGCGATTTAGTACCGGTAGATTAATTCTGTGATCGTAATATGTAAAGAAAGCGTTTTATGATCTGATTAATTTATGCATTGATAATTGATTGTTATGTTTTTACCCTGGAATATTGTTTATTGGTGAACCTATACCCTAGGCATTTTATTATTGCTTTCCTCCCTTACTCTACTTGCTTTAGTTTAATTATTAGTTTTACTCTCATTAAAACAATTTGGTTACTTGATAATTTAGATTATATTAATTAATTAGGAATAGAAAGACTTGTTTCCCTGTGGATTCGACCCTACTTCCCTATCTATTTTAGTTAGTGGTTTTAGGAATTACTTTTGATTAGGTGATACGACTTTAGCCTGTCAAAATTTGTCGCCGTTGTCGGGGAAACGGTTTTATTTTTATTTCTGATTATTATTGTAGTCTAGATTATTTTTCTTTAGTCTCAGAGAACGCAAGTTCTTTGGGACAGTTCTCATACTTGTTCGTTTAGTTCTGTGTTTATGCCCAAGAGTTCTAGATCAGGTTACATCCCATTCGATCCTGAAATCGAACGTTCTTTATATAAGCAGAAGAATCTTTTTAGACAGGTACAAGCTACTTCCGAGGGTATTACACCTTTGGAACCCCCATCTAATTCTAGCGTTACAGAAGTTTCTTTAGAACCAGAATCAGAGATGACGGCTTAACCACCTCGCAAGCTCAGTGATTATTCGCAGCCGTCCCTAACAGATTTTCCACACCTTGCTCCCGCACCAAATCTCGAGGGAGTACA